CATGCCCACATGGCGTCCGTACTCGTGGAAAAAAAAGTTTCCTTTGTTGATGTCCGACATTTCCAATTTTGTACAAAGAAGTACAGATACCAAGCTAGGATTGTCCAAAGTTTCACCTGTTTCACCTTTTTCACACGGGCCTTGCATGCAGCCGATTCACTTTTGCTACGGTGCTGTGCTTCGTAAACCTGGAAGGCACTCCACTCTTGTTGCTGTTTGGTGCCTGTGAGTACCAAACAGTTTTGAACTGACCTCCCTTCGGGGGGATCTCTTCGCACCTTCACCTGCTAGCTTTCGTCGATTATGGCCGCCACCCATTGATTGTTGATTGGTAGCATGCCACTTGACTTGTAAACGGGTTGTGCCACAAGAAAGGTCTTTTCTACGGCATGCTCACAGCCACGCCACCCCACTTGTAGGGATGCAATCGACGTTAAAGCAGTGCGACGCCTCTTTGTTAAGTGGAGAACTGCATTGTGACTATGATTTTGCAGCACTGGGGTGTGGCCGTTGGTCACTCACAATGATGAAGTGAAGTCCTTTTGAAGCTTTTTTGCGACTTTGCTTGAGCACAAACCTGCGCCGATATGCCTTTTCTAGACACTCTCTCTCGTCTCACATGTTTCACCTTGCACAGAGGAAAGACTACATGATGGTGGAGACTCGGCCTGTGGGCCTCGGGTTGTGTTGTTTTGTTTGGTGTGGTGTTGGGTTTCTCTGTTTCTTTCTCCACCATCAGACTGTTCTTCCCTCTCTTCAACGATGACCTGGGCACCATGCCCACACGGCGTCCGTACTCGTGGAAAAAAAAATGTTAGCCTCCGGTTGCAAGCATTTCAGCTCAATGCCGAAGCAATCGGCCAGCCTCCCAAGCCCAACTGAGGCCTCGAGCTTTCAAGCATGCACAGCTCTGAGTCACATCAATTTAGGTGTGCCAGAGCCGGATGCAGCGCACCCAAACCGATGCTTGCCGGACTGCTGTTTTCTGGAGGCGGGCATTGTCGCACTTGCCTTTCCTCAAGTGTACCTCTCTGCAGGATCCCTGCTTTACATGGCGCGATGCGCCTTTGCAGGTTGCACGCAATGTCGAGCAATATGCAAACAAGGAAAAAGTAAAACATGGCGAGGGACATATGTCCGACCCAATGCTTTTGACAAATGTGAGCAACTCGACTTGCCCGAATGGCACCGAGTTTTGCCGGCCGATGCTAGTGATCTATGGAGAGAAGACTTTCTAGAACCTGCACCAAAGGCCAGCAATGCTTTCGCGGCGGGAATGGTGCATAAGCACTCCGCCAGGAAGCTACGGCAAGTGAAATGTGCAAACATCACGCAGGGTCGCCAATTTCTTTTCGCCGTTCACGATACAGTGAGCCAATAGGAATGAGAGCCTCAGCTCCTCGTTTCCAACAGGCGGGTGGTAGAGAGTGGCAATGGAGGATGCCTAGATGTCCGACATTTCCAATTTTGTACAAAGAGGTCATTTACCATGCTAGGATAGGTCCACGGTCTCACCTCTTTCACACGGGCCTTGCACGCAACAGAACAATGCTTTTGCGATGACGCAGCATTTCTCAAAGTTAGGGCGCACCCCGTTTTGGCACCTTTGTGCACCGAAGGGCGCCGAGATGACCTCCCTTCGAGGGGGTGAGACTTTCGCACCCTTACCTGCAGGCTTTCATCGTTTGCTATGGCCGCCACTGTCTGAACACTACCAACTACTATGCCTCTTGACTTGTATGTGCAACCAGTTGCATGGGTTGTGCTACAAAGAAGGAATTTTCCACGGCATGATCTGCATAGCAACCTCTGATCCACTTAGATAAGGATCTGACCTGCGTTAGAGCATTTACCAATGCCCGGGACTTGCATTGTGACCAGGTTTTTGCCACTCTGTGCAGTGGCCGCTGGTCACTGGTAATAGAGAAGTGAAGTCCATTTGACGACTTCGTTGAAATTTCGCTAGAGCACAAACAATCGCTGCCATGTTCTTCTTTCGTGAATTCAGGCCCATAGATAGTCAGCAGTCAGCGTCTCACTTGTTTCACCCTAGTACAGAGGAAATACTACAGGATGGTGGAGGCTCGGCCTTTGGGCTGTGGTTTGTTTTGGTTTTTTGTTGTCTGTTGGGTTGTTGTCTTTGTCCTCTTCTCCACCATCTGACTGTATTTCCCTTCCTTCAATGATGACCTGGGCACCATGCCCACACGGCGTCCGTACTCGTGGAAAAAAAAAGAGGTCGGTTGGGGGAGCGAGCTGGTTGGCGTGAAATTCGAACCAGTCGAGGAGTTGGTCCGTTGGCGAGAGAGCTTGAAAATTGGGTGGAGGTCGCCAGCGGTTGAGTGGTCGACGGATGACTGCTGCGGTGGGATATTGAGAGAGGTCGGTGTTAGTCCGTGTTGGATCGCAGGTCGATGGGTTGTCGGGAGCGGCTGCGGGAAGTGGGGCTGTAAGAGTAGGTGGAGGTTGAAGGCGAGCGGAACGCGCTTGGGAACATATCTGTATAAAGTTTGTCTGACGGGCCTCATGACCCATGACCTTTACCCTTTACCTTTGCGGCTCTATCCCCCCCAATTGCTGAAAGCAACGCGTCCACCTGTTCCATGCTGCGCGCTCCGCTGCCGGAGCGCGCGTAGTGTACATGTTTGTTAGTTACACAACGACACATCCACAACGTGCAACCACAACGCAACCAAAGCGCAACCGCAACACGCAACCGCAACACGCAACCGCAAAAACGCAACTACAAAGACACAATTGACAAACACAAAACCACAAAGACATCCACGGCAACAACACGCAACCACAAAGACATATCCACAGCGCGCAACCACAACGCGCAATCACAGCGCGCAACCACAAACACACAACCACAAAAACACACACACAGACACCATCACAAACATGTCACACTATATGGCAAGGAGAAGTCTAGAATATTTACCAGATAGAATGTCACTATTTATATATATATATATAGATATATCAAAGATAATGTTTCTGTTGTGTGTCCTGTACACCCCTTCTTCCTTTGCCTTTACCGGACCAGACACCTGACAGGCGGCACGCCGCTGTCTTGCAAAAATGTTTGTCACATGTGACAAGCAACAAAATGTGCCAGAAAAAATGCCGAAATAATGTAGCAATATGTGCCATTGTCACATTGAAATGTCATGGTGGGGATCACTCGAAGTGAAGTACTTTGATCCAATAAGTGGTCAAAACAATGCAAGTGATGTGAACAAGGTGACAGGAACTGGCAATGCAGCTGACGTACTCAAAAGGTCTTTGGACACTGGCAAATCAGTAAGGCATGCCATTGACTTGACTGGCATGGTTGATCTAACGCAACCTTCGTGTGTGACTTATTTGTTTCAGTGAGACCTTTTCCACGCACATATACTTTCGAGTGCAAGTGCTCATGTGAGGTTGTGCTGGTCCCTCCGGTGTGAGGTTGGTCCGTTTGTTGGTTTTCGTCAGTTTGGTTCTTGATTCCTGCCCCATTTCTTTGTTTGTGCTTTAGTTGTTGAGAGCTGTACAGGTGACCCGACTCCCGTCTAATGGCAGCACACTTGGACAAATCTGTCACGAACTTCAAAAACTCATATAGACATGCAAAAAATGTTTCTGGACCAAAAGAATGGATCATATTTGTGCATTGACTTTGTTGGGTTCCTACATCAAAAGGGCTGAACAGTTTAGCTGCGGCAACCTCCAAAATAGGTAACTCGAGAAAACTTTGCACCGTGGCTCTCAACTAATCACTACCTAAGTGACACACTCCAAGAGTGCTGAACGAAGGTTTCGAGGAAACTTGGTGGCACAACGAACTCAGCATGCAAGAAACAGTGGCGCCGGGATCCGAAAATGCTTAGTAACAATGTTAAGACAATCTGATGGCAAAGTATGCAGTTGTTGCTTCCCTGCTGCCAAGAAGAAATCAAACCCATGGACCCACTTGCCATATGGCGCACACAACTAATGTGGGAGATGGATGGCTGTATCCCAAGCGTGCTACCGCAAAGAACGTTGATGGTGACTGCCAATTGAGCATTTTTGGAAAATGCATGCACATTCAATTTGCAACAATGCTCAGGACAAACTCGACATAGCTGCCAAAACTGAACTTGCAGATGTGGAGCAGTCAGATAGACCTTGCTTACCAAAAAGTTGAGGCTGAGTGTTCACACTTCCAAGAGTAGCATGTCATGACGTGATGCAAACTGAGACTTGACTTGATTTGTGGGTCACACAGTGGCCTACAATCCCTTGGATGAAAAGACACCAATGAACCTGCAACCTTAGGGCGAAGTTCAACATTCCAGACTCAGTGATTCACTATGGAAAACACCGAATCCGAATGAAGGCAGCTTTTTGGCAAACTTGCCAATGCCGGACTTACTGACACACCCACCTTGGAACTTGTAACTTTGAGAGTTGCAGCATTTTGGCGAGCTTGAACATTCCGGACTCAATGACCTTGCATTGGGGCTTTGAGATGAGCTGTTTGCAATGCTCAAGACTCGATCCCCGCATTGTCAGTATGATTGAATTTGTAAATCATTGAGTCCGGAATTGGTCAAGTCTGCCAAAGAACTGCAATTCACAAAGGCAAGCTCCACGCATGCCCCTCCCCCAACTTCATTGAGCCATGTTGCCCAGGATCTCCTTATCCGGGCCCTATGCCCCCTGCAGAGATGAAACTTCATGGGGTCGTTTTGCATCTTAAACCATGTTGGAGCACCTCACAAGCGCAAGGTGTCAAACAGAGGCGGTTCGCAAGACACGGATGGTTCCTGTGTTTCGGTGTGGATAGTAAAATGGGACCTGCATCCCATGTTGTGAATTTAACAAGAGGGTTGTGGGGGTACCTGCACCCCTTTTTGAGCCATGGCCGTTTGTATTCATCCAGAATGGTGGCATGGAAACAGTGTGTTTACTCCAGGGATTTTATTGACAACATCGATGCCAAATAGCTGACCAAAACCATTTTGCGCGGAGCTTTTTGGATCAATGTAGAACTATGATAGATGAAGGCATTTTCCTAGCCGCTTTGGGAAGCCCAGGCATGGGAGAACGGAGAACGTACAGCAATAAAAAGAGAGTAGTAGTAGCTTCTTCTTCCTAGTAGTAAGATGTAGTAAGAATGCTCCTAGTAGTAGGGCCAGGAGGCCCTAGTAGCGTCGTAGCGATGCCCTTTGCTCCTAGTAGTGACGGCGCTTTGTCGAACCAAACGAGATCCAATTTGCGGTCGACTTCGATGCCGGCGATTTCAGGATGCCGGCGACTTCGCCGGATGGGCGCACGAAGTTGGCTAAACTGAAGCCAAAAGGAAGCCCAGGAGTTGAATTCCACCGAGTTTCGATTTTAACAGAGCTTCCTTGAAGAAGCGTGGGCTATCTTGCCTCCATACGTAGTAGCTTAAGTAGCTTACTCCCTTGCTTAATTAAGTAGGCGCCTACTTAGTTATATAAGTAGGAGCGGGCCAAAAAAGCAGGGCAGTTTCAAAGCTGGAACTGGAAGAGTCTGTGAAGGTGCTCGAGTGGCTCCACCAGTGTACTTTTTTGGTGAGGAAAACTCGCCAACTCTGGGTCTGGAACAGGCTTGCAGTCCGACATTGATTGGAGGCCGAGAGGACTCTAGATTTTATACTGAGTGTACTGTGTCAAGAGTTGTTGAACGTATTTGAATGGCCCAATTACGCCTGTCAATGACTGTGGCTCAGGGTTTTTGGACTTGACCTGGAGTCCGGCTCAACCGGTGCAGATTCCTCAGAACGAGTTGGCGAGTGTCAATGACTTGTTTGTTGTTTCAGCCAGTCGCTGTGCTATGCATGTGAAGCTTTTTCTGTATGAACATGTCTTTTTGGGGAGGGAACTATTTATCCCTGAGTCTTGTCCAGTAGAAGTGTCCTATTCAAAACCGAGGCTGCCAGATCACCAGTGCCTCCACCACCGAGGCATGGAGAGATCCGCATGGAGAGGGCATGCAATGTGTCTGCGATGTGTCTGGCCGAGGCTTGGAAGTTATCCCGGCGGCGGGCCACCGAAGCGTAGCACAGCCGGAATCAAATTGGATAGCTTAGACACCCCCGCGGCCTTCGATTCCGTGGACTTATCGCACTTGAGATCTGCTGTGAAGCGATCGCCTGGTTATCAGGAGCGAGGGGACAGCCACACCATTGAGGCTAAAACTTTTTTAGATTCTGGTGACAAAAGAGTGTGAGCTGTTTCTTCATGTTTATCATTGTTTATCCAGTGGCGTTTCATTTTAACTTCCGTTTGCTCGTGACCATGCATATGTCCTCTCATGCGGAAAATCATCATTTGTGAAAAACAGGAGCAGCTGCCATCACTCCTCAATCTGCTAGAAGAACGAGGGGTGGACTATGGTCGGCTCAACCTGGATCGGGATGTGCAGCTCCCTTTGGAGGCCTTTGAGGACACGACCATGTGGACTCGAACGCCAGAGGAGTGGCAGCTGCTAATGCGCGACCTCACGGGTCAAACAACTCCGTTGGCTTGCACGGCGTTGAGGACCATGGAGGACGGCAGTGGCCGGTGGCAGTCAGCAAGTGTCCTAAGCTGGGACGCAGCTAGCCAGCGCTACAATGTGAAATGGGCCAATGGACAAGAGGACAAGGTCCTCAGCCTCCACGTATTTTTTGAGGGCGATGACCCTATCCTTTTTGCGGACCGTTTGAAACAGGCACTACAGAATCGGAGATATGCAAACAGCCTCCTCAAGTATCACTTTTTTGTCGACAGTATGCCAGAAGATCATTCCCGGAAGATTGGTCGCGAGTCAGTGGCACGGATTTCCAAGCTGGCAAAGGGTATGCTGTGGGATGCCAACAGCGAATTTGCCGACAAGCTGAATGGCAAGTTGGAGACTTTGTTGCAAGATGCACAGAAGGAGTATGTGCGTGTACAAAACTTGATTACCTTTGAAAAGGTGCGCAGCCAAGGGAACCTCACAGTTCTTCCCTCAGACCTAGTGTTGCCGCCACCTCCGGAAGCATCTCCTGTTCCCTTTTTGGCCGTGAAGGTTCTACCTTCTTGGGACACCAATACCATGGGCGCTCCGGATCCACAAGTCCCACGTGGCTTCCGGCAAGCCTTTGAGTGGTTTTGCAAGGCCTCCTTGGTCATTCGGCCAGAGGTTTGTGCTGCCTTGCAGGTGACCAGAGGGATGTGTCTGGATTTGCTCACTGAGAAGGTCTTTGAGACGAACTTCAACACAGCCTTGCGCCTCCAGGAATTCTCCGAAAGACAGGAGGCCTCCATAATGCGCCTCAAAGGTCGACTGGGGATGTGGGTGAACACCATCCGCTCCAGCCTCAGCTTCTCCAGAAGCTGTGCATGTCAGCTTCACACAGGGAGGGAAGATACACGGCATCCTAAGGCATGCGAATAACACAGTGCTTGCAGCAGGTGTGCCATCGATCCATCAATCTGATGATCAAGAGTATTAAGTTGAGTTTTGTGTGGTTCTTGCCATTAATCATTCTGCATCGATCGTTTGCACAAGGCAACAGTGAAGTGGTATCACTTGAACGAGACATCCATTGAGTCGCGCTGGCTGATTGAATGAGACATCCAGTAGGACATCCAGTGGAGCTTGTTTCTCTGCAGGAACTACAAGGCAAGCCGTTTGCGGCCAATGCTTGTTTGCAGTGGTCTCATGATGCCAGGGCCTTTGTTTTGGGCGGCTTCCGCCGGGTTTGCCATTGCGAATGCATTTTGACTGAGGTCAAATGCCTTTTTGCTGCTGGCCGAGGACTGGCCTGCTCGAGACTCTTTAACTTCTCCTGTTTATATACTATGAAACTCTTTGATCTCTACTTTCACTTGAACTCTCTACTCCTTCGATTGAGCAGGAGAATCTCTACTCCTTCGTCCGGAGCTTTGCACATGTGTCCGGAACCTACGAAACGGAAACTCACCGCCTTCATTTTTCGAAGGTCCAAGTGCTGGAAGGCCTCACCCCATTACGGGTGCAGCACTGAGGAGCATTTCTTGCAAAATGTCGGAGCACACACCGTGCACAGAACTTCGTCCGCAGACTTCTGGTGACCTGAACCCTTTTTTCTTTCAGGTTGATCTCACAAAAGACAGACATGTCTTGCGAACCTTGCGCAACATTGTGCAAGCCTTAAGATTCTGCTTTGCCAATGCAATTTTGCGGGTCCGACAGCCAGCAATTTCCAAGATTTGCTTGGCAGTCAAAGCAATGAGTATCAAGCTGTGTGTATGGGCAAGTGCCAGTGCAAGCCATCAGTTTTGAATCCATGAATCCATGAAGCAACGGCGTCTCCATAGTGAAAAACAACTCGTTTGATGACGTCAGGTGCGACCAGATCCCAACAAAGAGGAAATCGTTGGACTCTCAGAGGGCTTCCGTGCTGATTTCGCACGTTTCGGCCGTTGCGAGCTGTGAAGTGTTGATGGCTTTAAGGCCGTGGAGCCTAGCTTCAAGAAGGCGCTCTTTAAGGCGAGACAGAATTGTTGGAGTTGGAATTTTCTGAGTTGATGCATTCAGATGCACAACCTCTGACACCTCAAAGTGGCCAGAAGAACTCACTCACTGAACGCAGAACATGCAATGGCCAGGTAGAAATTGTAGTCAATCCTCAGATTGCGGCCAAAGCAGCTGCAGCAGTCACTCCCTTGGTACAAGACTTGAGTTCAGTGGCGAGTGGCAGCCAGTTCACAAGAAGAGACTTCACTGGATTTGGAGCTGGCGCTTTCCATACCTGTTTTTGAACAAACCCATTGGATCCCATTGGCATTGTTTGGTCTCATAGGAGTTTGGACTTCAGGCTAGAACCTCTTTCCCATGTTAGAGGTGCAGATGGGCCTAAGGCAGAAGCCGCCGCTGCCGCAGCGGCAGATGACAAGAAGAAAGATGATAAGAAAGGCAGATCTAGCGCACGTTGTTTAAGCCAGTCTTTGTGAAGTTGATTGATTTGAGGAAAAGAGAAAGGGAAGGCAGGGCCTTTGTTGTGTGGCCAGCCAGCGTGTTCTTCTGGGTAGACTTAGACGTGCCCAACAAAAGCCACCAGTTTGCAGGAAGAAGAAAAGAAACCAGAAGAGCCTCCCATGTTGCACTTCTCTTACAAGCAAGTGCCTCAACGCGATGCATCCCATTGCCAACTGAAGTTGTTTTCCCTTGCTAGTTGCTCTCGGCAGGACTGACCTTGGGGAGTTTAAGCAGGCATGCGAAAGCAGCCAGCTTTTCGATGTCAGAGAGGCAGCCTTTGCTCGCAGGTAGTGCTCAGCATGTTCGAAAAGGGCATGTCTTCTTTCAGAGATGTTCACAGCATTGAGAGCGTGGCAAGCTTAGAGTGTTCAGCGAAACGCAAATGAGGGAAATATGTGCAACAGTATCAATATGTTAAAGGACTATTTATCACCCTTCCCTCCGTCGGAAACTTCCCCGTTTTCACACTGTCAGCACATCCAGGTGCTAGGCTGGTAGCATTAGTTGCAGTGGAAAACTAGTTGGTGACTCCTATCAGGTGCTGCTACCCCATTTGATTCGTGACCATCATCTGGACCGTCTCTTCTTTACTTTACTTGCTGACTGTGCTCTCTTGTGCTGTTTGGAAACAAAAGGAAACGGAGCACGGCAATTTGAGGGTCAAAAGATGGCTTTTCTGACGAGGACCCTATCTTCTCACCAAGCGACGCTTGGGTCGAAGAACTCCGCGTGCGTTTAGAGGAAGGGATGACAGAGCGTGCCAGTCGATCAGATGCCAAGCATGCATGAAGGGCATGTGGGGTGTGGTGCATGCGGTTGTGGACTTCAGGAGACCATGGCCAAGCAGGAGCCGTGGCTACAAGACATTCTGCAATCCTTGGAGAGCTTCAAGGACACTGATAGATCGTCATTTAGTTTTTGATGCGATTTTCGTTGAAAAAGAGTGGAACGAAGAACTGCTAACAACAAGAGTCATCAGACGACGTGATGGACATTGATATGGATGACAAAATGAAGTGTTACTGGTACTATATATATATAGTACAATGGAAAGTGTGACTACATCTCACAGGTCTCGTTTTGGTTCCATGTGTGGTCTAGTATTTGACACCAGCCCCAATCTGCCAATGATGGAGATCCTCAGACATGTCATGAGTTGCGAGGACGTTGTCCTTATGGATCCAGAGGCACGAAAAAGTTCTTGCATGTAGAGATTTGATTCAGCCAAGCATTCAACCAAGCTCAAAAGCTTTGAAGTTTAGTGTTCCGGAGTATTCCTGTGATTGCTGTTTTCGCTACCAGGCCGCGGCTGCCCGCCTGCGTGCGGAGCCACAACCGCCCGCACAGGTCAAGGCAATGATCGAAGAGAGGAAGGAGTCGGGGATCTCGGAACCAGGGAAAGGTCCTAGTAGCGTCCTTGTTCCTAGTACATAGTAAGGCCAGGAGCCCCTAGTAGCGTCCTTGCTCCTAGTAGCGATGCCCTTTGCTCCTAGTAGCACTTTTTGTGAGGGACAGGTCTGTTTGTGTTTTCAACACGTGGAAGTGTGGTGAAACAGTTGCTTAAAGTCCGAATGAAGCAATTGCTGCCGAGTCGGTGCTGTTGTCTTGAGGCGAATCAAGCAGATTCAAGAGTCTATTCCGGATGACAAGGCTTGGATGGCTTTTTGATGCTTTTTGCAGATGCTGAAGTTCTTCAAGCCTTTTTTGCCTAGGAATCCATCACGATTGGCTTCTATCGCCGCAGTCCTATTTTGACATTCAGTGGCGTGTTCCTTATCAGTCTCCAGCTGTGCATTTATCCAGGCATTGAGTCTGGTGGCATCCGCAACCAACTCATTGAGAAATTAGAGACGCGCGAAACTTGGTCTTGGAAGCCCGTCAAATACTGGTTTCCAAGATAATAAAGAAATACTGGCACATGTTTGTGTGCTCAAATCCAACTCTCCACTTGCTTACAGGTCAATGCAGCTCTTGCTCAAGTCTCTAGCAGAGACGTTGGAGGTCAACATTCATGAAGTCTTCAACTTAGGAGTGAAAGACCTGCAAACTGCTCATATATTATACATAATAGGCCGAATCAAGACAATCAAGTAGGAGCAGCAAAACCAGCACAGGCTTCCCTCCAGACTCCACACTTCTACACTATCTACACTACTGTAGGTATTTTGTACAATTTTGAGGATCTGTGGTCTCAACTAATCATATGACCAACACTCTTTTGTTAGGGCTGTTGCCTCAGGCCACAGTGGCCTTCGAAGGCATTTTCACCAAACTCCAAACACAGGCATGGAGCTCTTGTGCTACCTTCTTGTTTGGAAATTGACTTCAACGCTATAGTTTGATATATACTGAAGTACTATTTGGCGCAGTTCCAGGTTGCAACGATTGAAGAGTGCTCTGACATGAAGGCACAGAGGGGGCCTTTGTGAGGCTCAGAGTTCCAGAGGCTTTTGTCTTTCCATAACCAGACAGGGGAGTGTGAGGCAGACTTTGGACCCAGAGCCATGTCACGAAAGGTAGCGGTTACGCTACCTGAGTTTTCCTTTTGCTTTAGCAAAAATGTATTAACCCAGAGCTGCAGCCTATCTCTCGGAGAAATGGTCCCCGACATCTTCGTTTGCTGGCCGGGGGGGGGGTGAAAGAGTGACTAGGGCGTACACGGTAGAGGTGCAGACCGCTAGTGTCTTTTATGCGCAGAGTCTTATCCTCTTGCTCTTTAGGTCCATTGACCCTCTCTTGAGCCTTGAAGCAGTCAAGCATGGACACACTATATCAGCTGTTGGAGTGGAACCCTGTACAGGTAGGCTCTACTTTTCAGCAGGCACAAGATTCATGTCCACTTCTAGCTGATTGCGTATGTCGCATACTCTTTTCCTACTGCAAGGCTAAAACAGTCCAGCTAGCTCTGACAACTTAAAAGAAAACTACGGTGCCATGTACTTACCTAATCCAGTGTGTTTCACACTTCAGAGAAGGTAATCTCATAGCTACTAAATACAGTGAGGGAGCAATAGCTGACTCACCTCAAGTACAAGATCAAATCGATAATGTACCTCGGCTGGAGACTGTACTTTTCGCAGGCGGAGATACCATGTACCGGCGCTCACTAGCTCTTTATGGCCTGAGCTAAATCAAACTAAAAAGGGAAAGCGGCTTTTTCTCTACAGAGACCTATAAAAGAATCAAACGACACTCGCGTAACAAGGAACTAAAAATTCAAGACCGCACAATGCAATGAATTAAGATGCCTTGCAAAATGCAAGGAGCGTACGGTCCGAGGAATAATCTTCTCGTGACGTGGTCTCGACCGCTTTCATCCACAGACAAAATAAAACTGCATCAAAAGGACTCTTTCTCATTTACATCAAAAACACAAGAAGGAGATACCGGCAAATGTATGTACAAAAAAAAATCTTGCACTACAATTGCAAATCATGAAATGACTTAATCATCAACCATGACTGGTTGTCCATTAGAGGTCACTTCATAAGAGCGGTGGTGATAGATATCATCAGTTCTGTAAAACTGTCCATACCTATCTACATGCTAAAGCGTATAAACCTGGAACGCAGGAGTATCTTCTTTGATAAAAAGTTTCTCCTCATTGCAAACCAGAATTTATTAAAACTTCAGCCTGGCAACTTAAAGTCAAGCCTGGAAGCAAAGTATCAACTGTAACCAGAAGTATCTTCACTTCCTAGCCATCATTTAAATTTCAGCCTTCGCTCAGGAATTATGCCGCTGCAGACGATGAAGCTGCTTGACCAGAAGTTGGCGGCCTTCCTTTCTTTCTATTCTGCTTTTGTCTCTCCTTCCTCCGCACGTTCGCCTCATGAAGCGTTGCTCCCATGCGATACTGTCTTCTGTCTCCAGATGAAAAGGAAGCTGGTCTGAGTGAAATAAACATTGGACCATGACTGTCCTCGTCAGTGGGCCTTGAGCACATAACCTCTGTGTCAATCATAGCAAAGTTCTCTGAAAAATTACAGATGAACTCCTTCGTGCTCACTGTGGAATTTTCATATTCCTCTTCACTCATTGAATGACCCCATTCAACAATGGTAGACAAACATGTATCGCCAAGCTGTGATCCTTGGTATTCTTCTTTTTCAACAGTAGAATATTCTTCCCAGAGTTTATCAAAGTAAACTTCACACCTCTTGAGGACCTGTGAAGTTGAACTGTAAAATGTTCTGGGAATAGGTGCTTTGATACCAAGATCTGCTTTTACACGAGCTTCTGAAAACCTGCGGATCCAATGCTGCATGGTGCTGTAATAGTAGTTAGCCATTGGCTGCCTTTTGTACCCAGACATTCTGTAGGCCAAACTATTTGCATCACCAGAAATGATGTCCACCTCATAGACAAAACACTCGTAAAGCATCAATGCTGTCTGTTCTCCTGTCAGTAGGTGGGCACCCACAGCACGGTGTGTATCAACATGATAATTACAGACTCTGATGGTATGCATGTTCGCTCGAGTAAGTGGAACACGCTTGTCCTCAGGACCATAGTCATCAAATTCAAAGTCTGCATCCTTGAAATCTTGACGAGGCCTTGTTTCTCCAAAACAAATCTCGTAGATAGCCCAAGTTACATCACGCTGTTCACAGTGACCAAGTTCTTGATCATGTCCAGCAATGATCTTGACATATCCACCTGGTGCCAATCTAGCCATCACTGCAAGATTCTCCCAATCATTGAAACAAACTGTCCAATTCTTTTGCTCAATAAATTCCTTGGCAGGAACAAGAAGATGAGCTTCCTGGAGAATCACGACATGTGCACGTAAAAAGAAGAGCACGTTGAAGAAAAGGTTGTTCTCAAATTGCTCATTCTGAAGTGACATGGCGCTCTGTTTGCGTGGCCTCATTGCACTATCAAGTCCTTGGAGAAACCTTGGTGTGGTGTACTTCTGACCACGAACCATGTTGCCATAGTTCCAGGATAAAAATGTCAAGGACTCTGAGCTGGCCAATAAGTTAGTTCCATATGGTTCTTCTATTCTTCCCTTGAGGAACCTTCTGCGCAGCTCTTCATAGAAGGTGACAAAGTCCCAACTGGGTCCCTTAGGACCATATGATTCCAGTTCCTTCTTAAGTTCCTTCTTCGTATCCTCCAATTCTTCTCGAGCATGTTTTGCCCTTTCAAGGGCCTTTGGATCGACCTGATACTTGCCATCCAAATGAATGATGCGATCATCATTGATAAAGAATCTCTTCAAATCATGCTCTGGTTCGTGTTCATAACAATCAGGTGGAGGTACTGGACAGATATTACGAATGGATCGAACAAAATCATTCTCGTTGATCCTCGACTGATAATGAGGATGGGAAATCTCACCTTTTCTGAAACAAACATGGTTCAGCAATCTCGCGTGAGTTTCCCTGAAGCATAGTTGATAAAAGCCAATACCTGGATCTCCTGTAAGCTCTCCAAGCAACTTCAAAGGTGAAGTATGCAACTCATAGGTATTGTCAACTTTTGTTGTATCCTTTTCAGCAACTACTTCAGATGGAAAAGATTCCTGGATTTCAGCGTCCAATTTCTTCTCTCCATCATCCTCTCTGACCTCTTTTATTTTCTCCACCGCCTCTTTCTTCTCTTCCATGGTTGCATCATCCTGAACTTCTTCATGAAAATGAGGATCAGGAATCTTATTCAGGCGGCTTCTCTTCGATTTCCGCTGACCTGAAGTATCATCAAGGTTAGCATCCATCTCACCTGATGGTAAGTGCGATGCAGTCGAGTCCTCACCTATCTCTCTTGACAGAAAGTGTGGTGTTGACTCTTCCTTGGCTTCCTCCTGGTCAACTTCCATCTTTGGTTCCTCTGAAGGAAAAACACCTGCATCTTCATCAAATATTTCTTGTTCCTTTCCAGGTTCAACTGCAGGATCTTCTTCAGGAACTTCCTCTTCCATATTCTCATCTTCTAGAAGTGTCATACTTCCAGTATAGACTTCACCAGCGATAGTGGAGACTCTTGTATAAGGAGGAACTTCTTCACCTGCTTCAAAAGCTTGTTCTGCAACATCCTTGGTGAGCAAGTCCTCTACAAGATTTTCTCCCTCGGTTCTTGGAAGAGGTCCTGAGGTCTCATAAAAATCTGTCCTCTCTGAACTGAAAGCTTCTGTCGCCTTCTCATTGTCCTTTTGATCCCTGAACAGGTGAGTAATCTTCACAGCTTCTCCCTGTAGCACCTGATCACCTCCTCTATACTTGTCGACAATGGAGCGCCATGCTGGAACATCATCATCATCAAAATCAAGCTCCATATCATCTGCCAACAGGTATGAGATGTTTTGAGCTGCCTGTTCTTCTTCTTCATCACGTTCCTTGGCAAGCTCCTCATCCTTCTGGATCTTGAAGATACCCTTCAGGATGTCTTGTAGTACCTTTAAGTTCAGCTTCGATGATGGCTCATACGTCCCTGAACTTACAGGCTCAACTACAACACGAGAGCAAGAAATCGCCTCCAAAAACTTGGAATTGTATTGGCGTTCAAACTCTTCCTTCTTGATCATCTCATACAAGGGATCAGAAACTGCAACACGCGCCTGAACATACTCACGAAGTTGATAGCATGCATGTTGCACAAATCTACTGTTGGAGTTGTGAAGAAAACTCTCTAAATGATTCCTGTCACGGTCAATCAAATACCACACAATCCTTGCAGAAAAACGGAATTTCTTGAAGTTCATAGCAAAATGTGTATGATACTTCTCTGGATTCCTTTCTGCTTGTAAGGCGGCCTCTGAAGTCTTGTAAACTGGGAGCTTTGTGTGTGGATCCAAAATCATAAACTCTTCCCACAAGATCGAGTGGTCAAGAACCCACTTGGGAAGCACCTTGATGAAAAAGTCACAAACAAGTTCTGACACAAGGTGCATGACACGACCAATCTCTTCCTCCTGCTTGAAGCGATAGTGCAATCTGGCAAATAAAGGATTGTTGAATGCTTCCTCCACTGTATTGCCAAAATTATCCCACTGAGGTTCTGGAATACCAAAGTTCCAACCCAGCAATTTGGGATCTCTGCACATATCCAAGAAGCTTGAAAGCTCTACAGAAGAAATGCCATGGTCTGTCAGAATTTCAGCCCAGCGGCGTCCATTCTCCCAAGCACGGATGAAGAAAAACTGTTGGTATCCAGTTTGCGCCAACTCCATCCACTGAGAAATTCCGGGTTCAAAACTCGGTGCATACGTCTTGGGGTCTTCCTCTGTTCCATAAACACTTGGACGTAGCAACTTGTATCTTCTACAAAAATATTCTCTCTGGTGCCTTGTCAACCTGTCCCAATCCCTCACGAGGATCACGTCTTCTCCAGTGCTCTGGAGTACACGTGTCCCTACACGATCATGGAGTGATACCATGCCAATGTCATATATCATCCATGGGTTGAG